GTTTACTTGCACATTTAACTAAAACAGAACTCATATATAGACATATACTCGTATATGGATAGTATATATGTATTTTGACAACTAAATAAAAACCAGGGCTGACTTATGTGGTAGTTGTTTTTGCTTGTTGGTGGTTGGTGGTTGTGGTATTGTGGTGCTGCCTATGACCGACCATCCATCCCTAGATGGTGGGTGATGGTTTGCTTCTTGCTATTACGAGTACATATGTATGTACTTTATTCAATAGAACTTATGATTTACCAATTTAGTAAGTATGTATGTATGTAGTTATGCATGTATGTATGTATGTACTCGTATGTTTATGTAGTTAGCGATAATTTATGCCAATTATTATATGTATAGCTTTATATGTATAGGTATATGTATGTTTATATGAATATCTATTCAATACGCGCGTGTGTGTGTGTGTGTATGTGTATGTATGTCCTACAAATAATTTAAATGTATATACTCGTATGTTTTAAATTCTTAAATTTAGACGAAAATTATATATACGCTCGATTTTCTTTTGTGTGTGTGTGTGTGTGTAAAAACCTATATATAATTCTCTCAAGTAAATGCCAAAAGTGTGTATGCTTGTTAGTTTTTCTTTTAAGTATGTAATCGTCGTATATGTATGTGTTGGTATGTGTGTGTGTACTTATCAACTTAACGGTAGTTCTATATAAGTATGCATAACGATATATGGTCGTGCATGCCAAAAATATATATCAATTTGCTATCACTCTGTAGTATTTTCCTCGCGTTTCATCTTCCTTTTCAAATGTTTACATTAAGTTTATTATTTGGTATGTAAAATGGTGGCACTGTTACATATGTATGTGTGTGTACGTATGTATGTATATGCCCCAAATGCGGGGGAAATCGCGACGCGTGCATGCAAACGCAAAATATGAATAGTTATCAAAAAAAAAGATGGGAAAACAACATTAAGTTCGATCTCAAGCAAGTCTGCCCACAGATTTCAAGTCAAACACGCCCCCCAAAAAGTCACCAACGGGGAGAGTGGGGTGAGGGGAGAGACAAAGAGAAAGCTACAGACAAAGAGACAGAGGAAGAGATAGGGGGAGAGAGAGAAGAAAGTGTAATCACAAACATTCGCAATTGTTGCAGAAACACAGAACGAGACAAAAATTGTTATCACACAACTGTTTTTTCAAAAATTGTATCAACTTTTCTTACGCAACGTAATTTTTCACAGGGGGTTTTCCAAAAAATATCAGTAGTAGTAGAGTAGAAAAGAGAGAGTACGCCTAATCTATGTGCATTCACAGTTTTGGATAAACAATTTTCTAATTAATTGTAAAATTGTTTAGAAAATCGTTTATCCATTCTAAAAATGTTTAGCTCGCATTCACAGACAAGAAGAGGGGGGAGTTTTACAATATTTTTGAAAAATCTTTATCAAAATCCATTTTAAAAATGTTCAACACACATTTATGGGTCACAGTTTGCTGGCTGTTTGTTTTTTATTTTATTTAGAAAAATAGAAATCTCAAGTATAATTTAATTTCAGGCAATTTCGGCATTTTAGATGATTTTACATTTTTTGCAAAAATGTTTGTTTAAAACGAAACTTCACAACGAGAAAATGGGCCAAAGCCTAAACACAGATAGTACGTAGTATCAAAATTTTACATTTTTCCAAAATGTTTTGTTCGAAACAGGGCGCTCACAAATATTGGGAAGGCGAGGCCTCGTCACAGATATAAGCTCACCAATTTTGTTTCGGCGAAAGGAAAACTAAAGAAGTGGTTTAGGACAAATATTGAAAATTTAAGGTTTTGAAAATGAACGAAAGTTGATTTTTAATTTTTACATTTGGCATAAATTGATATTTGAAACACCCTTTTTACCAGATGTCTGTTCTAAACAGAGTTACACAGAAGCTAAAAGGCAATGCCTTGTCACAGATAAAAAAACGTCAAAAATAAAACTGTTTTAAAGATTTTGGAAAATATCGAAACTTAAGATTTTGAAAATTAACGACATTTGGCACAAAATTATGTTCTAAACACATTTTTTTACCAGATAATTTAATATGTTCTAAACGGGGTTACACAGATGTGATTTTTACTTTTTTCAAAAATGTTTGCACCAAAGGGGCTTACACAGTATTTGAGGCTAGGCCGAGTCACAAATATAAAACACTTTCGGAGCTATTCTACACTTTTTCATCAATTTCTTACCAAAGTGAAATGCAATGCAAATCACTTTAGAAGTGTCTGTAGACGAAAGTGAAATGTGGAACAGCACTGACAATGCTTGGGGGTTTAAGATTTTTCAAATTAATACTTTGAGAGAAGGAAATTGAACTGAAGAAAACTGAATTTGAAATATACGAGTAATATCGGATATTACAAAACTTAAGCGGCTGAGCCTGGACTCAGATTCGAAACACTTTATGATTGAAAAACTGAAAAAATGCGGTATTACAAAACTTAAGCGGCTGAGCCTGGTCACAGATTTGAAAAAAAATATAGAAAAGATTTATGTTTTGGGGCTTACATTTTTCTGAAAAATTTCTTACAGGATTTTCACAAAGTTGAGGAAAAATATTAAGAAATTTGGGTTCTGGAGTTTACATTTTTCTCAAAAATGTTTGTTTTTAACGGATTTTCACAAAATGGAGTTTCAAAACTCTTGTCACAGATTTGAAAAATAATCAAGCTTAACACCTTTTTTAAAAAATGGTTTTTCCTAAAGGATTTTCACAAAGTTATGGTTTGGGCCGCTTTTCACAGAAAGAGATTATTTTTTTTTACATTTTTTCCAAAAATGTTTGTTTAGAACAAAAAAACTTCGCAATTCAAGATCAAGAAAGAAGTTTTTTTCATTTTTGCGAAAAAATGTCGTTTTTAAACGGAATTTTCACAAAAAATGGGTTGGTTGGTGGCAAGGCCTGGTCACAGTTGGGGTTGGGATGGGGTTTTCGAAACATTATACACAGAATTGAGGCGTGCAGCATACCTAGGCATCTGAGAGCCGAATAAGGCCAGCCTTCTGGTGCACTGCACGTTTCACAGACAATTTGACGAGGTCGGGGGAAACCTAAACGGAAAACTAAAAGAAGACCTTGAGGTCAGCTACATAAAGGAGATTATTAACACAGTTTGTGCTGTTCTTTCGAAATTCGAATTCTTAACACGGTTTTGCGACTTGCACACAGCTAGAGAGAATATCAAATTGGGTTTTGCTTTCAATTCAATTAAAAGTAACGTTAGTTCATAGAAATTTGTCACAGTTGCTGAAAGAGAGAGAGAGAGAGGGAGGGAGAGCGAGAAAGAGAAGGCGAGAGGGAGAAATCGGTGACTTTTTCAATACAGAAAATAAACAACAAAATAAAACAGGAAACATTGAACCGCTCTATAAATTGTTGGGATGTCTTCAAATCGTTAAAATTTAGAATAACATGCTTAAGGCCTAAACGACAAACCTAAGATCTAATTCACATACACATATAATTATATATATCATTATTAATATGGGGAGTACGATTGTTAGAGAGAGAGAGAGAGTGGAAAAGAGATTTTGGGGGGAGAAAGTGCAACACAAAAACACTATACAGAGATCCATCACATACGGCTGTTCTGCTTATTTGCTTTGCCTTACTACACCATACACAACATAGAGAGGGTGTTACCTAAACATACAAATATATGGATATTTATATAGAAGTATATATAATTAGTAGAAATATCTAATGAAAAGCCATGTTTAATAATGGGTATATTGCAAAATCGATAAATATACTAGGCATGGTCCTTCCACAACTATTTTAAACTTACAAATTAATAATCACGCTGCGCCGAAATTTTTGTTTTGTTTTGTTGCTAAAGAAAGTGCAACCTATAGCTACTAAACGATGCTTTTTATTTGCAAATCAACTTATAACAATACATATATAGTATACTACACATATGTATATAAGAGAGTATGGGGGGCGTGTGGACTTGACAAGTGCTTGGGGCAGATGGCAGAGAGAGAGGGGGAAAGAGAGAATGAGAGAGAGTGGTGTTCCGCATGCAACAGTTCGCACTATTTTTGTGTTTCGAGTGTTTTTCTTTCAATGTGATCGATGAGTGGTGTTTGAATAAAAAATTGTTTTGTTTAGAATTACGATAAAGAAAACTTAATTTAAACGTTTCTCGATTTTGTATTATAGTTGAAACGATGTTCTCACTAAAACTAGAAATAATTACCAATCGTTTAGGTAAAGATGTGCAACTTATTTGTTAATTTAGTACGTAATCCAATATGCTAATTACGTTGCATTCTAAATTTTGCATCTCAATCAATTCTCCTCACTGTCTATATGTTTTGTTTTTCCTTTTTTATTGAGCAGCACAGCAATTTTCATCAATTCATCTCATTTCATCTTCGACTTCATATGCATAGATAAGATTGTTGTTGTGGTTGCCTTTGCTTTGCTTTTTCCATTATTCATTAATTTTAATCAAATTTTTACTAAATAAAAATCGCTTCAGTTACCGCGACGTGATGTTTATCGCCTGTTTTTTTAAACCTGTTTTTTTGGTAGCGTTTTTTTGTTTTTAAATATTTTAAATTGTATTTTGTTTCTTCTCTTTATATAAAAAAAATAGAACTAAAAAATTGCTTTCATATAAAAACTCAACAAAAAATAACAAGAATATAAATTGTGTTTATATAGTTTTGCATTTAACTCTTGAGGGGTAGGGGATGGGGAGTGGAAGGGACAGGCTGGCGAGGGTGTTGCATTCAATTTGTTATTGAAATGTAATACAAAACTAAGGGTGGAGGGAGGGGGTGGGTGGTGTGGTGTGGGGTTGGGGAATAATAAAAATATATTAAAACACAAAGAAACAGAAAAATGACAGAAAAGGAAAACTGCAGCTTCGCTTCAAGTTGGAAAATCGCGCTCTTCGCTGCTGGTTTTCATCTTTCTTTCATTTTGTGAAATATTTATTTTGCGCCTGCTAAGAATTTTGCTCGCTTTCTTCGTGTTTTGTTGTTGTTCTTGTTGTTCAGTGTAATTTCTCGCTTTTCTTTTACACTATAGCGCTTAAACTTAAAGAAAAATTGAATGTTAAAATTTCGCTAGTTTAACAGTTGGTTAGGCTTTTGCTTTTGCTTTTGCTTCTGTTTTTTTTGTATCCGCTTAATTGTTCATATTGAGATAATCGTTAAATAGTTGCATGCAGGCAGCACCACCGCCCAGCAGCTGGGGCGATGTCTCCTCGTAGGCCGCGGCAGCCTGATAGTTGGACAGCTGTGGCGCTGTTGTCTTTAACGCCCGACCACCAATGGCGCCGATGCCGATGCCGCCGGCACTATGTCGCCATATGTTGGCTGCCTCGAGCAATTCGCCTGCCGACGAGGATGAATTCGAGCTAACATCCGAAGAGGCATCTGCTTTGTTGCTGCCGCTAATGTTGCCGATGTTGTTGTTGTTGTTGGTGGTGGTGCTATTGAATTGGCTGATGTGCCGATTGCACCAGAGATCGGTGAGCATATCAGTGGAGCGTGTATTGCCGCCTGTTGGCAATTCCCAGATATTCAGTTGACTCAATTTATTCGTATAGTTGCCACTCAGCTGTTGTGGTTGTTGTTGCTGCTGCGACTGCGACTGCTGCAGTGGCTGTTGTTGCTGTTGTTGTGCCCAACTATTGCCGATGGATGAGGCTCCCGATGAGGAGGTCAGCGAGGCTGTGGGCGAGGCGGCATGTTGCAACAGCTGCTCGTTGGCCGCATAGAAATTATCCCTGAGTTGTTGTTGTTGTTGCTGTTGTTGCTGCTGTTGCTGTTGCTGGCCATTGCTGCCGCTGCTGGACGAGGTGGTTTGGGACCAGAGCAACTCCTTGCTGTGGCTGGTGGTGGGACTCAGAGAGGGCTGAGATCCTGAGCCCGAGGAGCAGCCACTGGTTGATGAGGCATTGCTGGCACAGCCCCATAAAGCGGAAATGGATTCGGAATTGTTGGTAGTGTTGTTGTTGCCGCTATTGTTGCTACTGTTGCTGTTATTGACGGTGGTTGCTGATGTCCAGGCATTTAGTTTCTGATTGTTATTCGAATTATGGCTAATTAAGTTACTAATACTGCTATTGACAGCGCTAATGTTGTGGTTGTTTGTGTTTGTGTGGCTATTGTTGCTGTTGCTGTTGCCAGTGTTGGTCAACAAAAGAGTATTGGCATCATGGCTTAATAATTGCTGCGGCTGCTGTTTTAGTTGTTGGAATTTTCTCAAGCCCGTCGTTAGATTGGGCTTAATCTGCAATGGTTGCTGTTGCAGCTTTTGTTGTTGTTGGTTCGACACCAACGGCTGATAGTTTACGGACGTGTTTAGACGTGTAAGGAAATTGTTATATATTGATTCATTTGCGCGCAAAGCAGATCCTTGTTGCTGTTGCTGAGCAGCCGCTGTTGGCTGCTGTTGCTGTTGTTGTTGTGCCTGCTGCTGCTGGCGTACCTGTTGCTGATGCTGCTGCGCATGCGGATGAGCGCCAATCAGATCGGGATTGATTTGCTGTTGTAATGGCGCTGAATAGTCAATGGCTGGATTGTAGAGCGGCTGTTTGGCACGCGTTTGCATTGTAGATGGGGCCGTTGGAGCACCTGTGGCACCAACAGCAGCGATGCCAGCTGTTGTTGTTGCTGTTGCTGCTACTGCTGCTGTTGTTGTTGTTGCTACTGTGTTTATTGCAGCTGTGCCCGTTGGAGACTCCAACGGGGCCTCATGTTATGCGAGCGGCTGCTGGCGCTGCCCATTGCTCTTGACATAGCAGTAGCTCAAGGGCTTCACGAAATGCGTATCCTGAGTGGTGCAATAGGGGCAGGTAACCCCATGCGAGTAATCGCTATAGAAACTGAGTCGCTGCGGCGGCACCATCAGCAGCTTGCAGCAGTTATTGCACTGCAATGAAAGTGGAAATAAAGATGTTCGTATATTAATTCAAAGATTATTACAATTTCTTGAATCCTTTCGGTGGTTCCTGCTGTGGTGGTTGATAACTCACCTTGAAACGCTCGGCGCAGCAGGGCATGGCTGCAAAGATGTCGTAGGCATACATAGTGCCCAGCACCAGATTCGAGCCATCCCAAGGCTCATTGCAGAATCTGTAAATAGAAATTAGGGGTATATAAAATATATAAACGCCTTGAAGCTTTACTTCATTATAGTTTTTATGAACTTTAAACTCTCAAACTGTTAAGCCTAATTCGAACAAATCTATGAAATTCCCAAATATATTTACAAGTAAATGTGTTTCTCAAGAATTTACATAATTAATAGTTTGTTGTGAAAATTTCTTCATTTTCTGAATGATTGGCTAAGGAATTATTAGTTTTTAAGGCACAAATTTCAAAATGTGGATGTGCACTTCTTTATTAAGCCTAATCTTTTATTATTAATACATAAAGCTGGTACATTATAATTATACTTTAAAACGCAATAGGATGTTTAACAAAAGTCGAAGTCAAACTCATTTAATGAAGCTCTCCATCTATCTGATCTACCTTTCCCTAGCTTTTTAAATATTATTTGAATGAAGCATTTTTAAGCTAAAGAACAATATAAAATTGAATAAAGACTGATTTAAAGTAAAGCTACAATTCAGCTTAAAATTCGAATACCTATTTGATGAATTCGATTTCAAAAATATGATTCCCTACCAAGTCAAGTGACCTTTAAAGAAGCTCTCCACTCCCTAACTTTTCAAGCATTTTTGAATAAAATATATTTAAACTGAAAAACAATATAAACTTTAATAACAGGTCTGGTCTAAAGACAGATTTCAAGTAAAGTTACAATTCAGCTTATAATTCGAATACTTATTTGATGAATTCGATTTCAGAAGATGCGATTCCTTACCAACACAAGTGAATTTTAATTTTTTCTTTTTATGTTTGAAAAATGCTTTCTTCTGCTGCCAGATAATACTATCATCATAAAAGTATTCCTTACATTTTCTTTAACAAATATCAGTAATTTGTCTGATATTTGACAATTCACATCATTATAATATCTAGCTATGTAGAAATTATATTTATCAATATAAAATTTAGCAGCAGGTCCCATTAAATACTGATTTAATGTAAAGTTACAATTCAGCTTAAAATTCGAATACTTATTTGATGAATTTGATTTCAAAAATATGATTCCCTACCCAGTCAAGTGAGTTTTATTTTTATTTCTATAATTGCAGTACTTTGTCTGATAATTGATTATTCACATCATTATAGTATCTAACTATGTATGTAGGAACTATATTTAATTTGGAGTGCAGTGCGAACTTACCTGCAGATAATGCCGCGAGTGCTGGAGGTGCCATCCAGGCAGCTCATGCAGACACAGGTCAAGTATTGTGTGCGACCCTCGTATTTGACCTGAAACGACAAGAAGCAGAACAAACAAGAGAAACGTGAGAAATGCAGATATATACACACACACACATATGGGAGAATTGCCAAAATATTTGCCGTATGTATTTCAAGTTTGAAGACAGGCCGGCCAGAAAATAAACAGTGCATCAGAGGGGAAGGAGCAGGGGGAAATGCAGCGGCAACGGCATCGGCAGCCACACACGCAAGTCGGGAAGGCTAAAAAGCTGAATGGTTGTAAGGCAGACAGGCAACGGTAAACAAGGCACATAATTCATTGTCAACAGAGGTTGCTGGTAGGCTTAAACTTGCAGACAGGGAGGGCGGACAGACGGACGGACGACCCAGACAGAGACGCAGACAAACAATGAAAAATTATGTCGATCCACAAGCGAGAGGCAACGAGCCAAACGACAAAACTTTCTACATTTTGGCCGAGCATTTCCTGTGCCACACACCAAGCCAGTGGGAGTGCAGAGCAGAGTAGTGGATTGGAGGGAGATGCGGAGAGGTGCTGGGCCATCATGCAAAATTTAGTGCATTTTTGCATGCATTGCACAAAAAGGGCCGCTCCTGTATGTTGTTGCTGTTGTTGCCGTTGTTGCGGTGGCAGCTCAGGCGACGCGACATAATAATTTCAAATAAAATGCAAAATGCATAAACTTGCCCGGGAGATTGCACAGCGCCCACGAGACTATAGCAGCGGCAACAGCAGCAACAACCACAAGAACGACAACAACAAATATCTGAAGAGATAGCACTTGGTATGCCACCATTATATACCCTACAGTGGCTTTTTTCTCTTATTCATCAGCTTTTCTTCTTCTTGAATTTAAGAGCAAATTGTGTGAGCACATGTGTGACCTAAAATAATTTGCCTACAAATTTGTTGTATTTAACAAGTAGGTTTTGATAAATAAATCGAAAAAATGTTTTTTGTAGCAGATAATTACATTTAAGTATAGCATTAATATTAGATTCAGATAAAATAATTTCAATATTGGAATATTTTGCGTGAAAATTATCTGCTTACTTCACGTTAGTTTTCCTGTCTGACCATCTTTTCAAATTTTATATAAAAGGTAGATCAGAGTTATTGAGTTTAACAAAAACATTTCTTGATATGCAATTCATATTTAAAATTAATCGCATTGTGCCTTTAATCAAACATCCAATATTTTATAAATTTGTTCTATTCTTCTGATTTTTAAACATTTCCCTGCCAACGTTTTTTTTACAAACTTCGTTTTCCAAAATTTCTTTTAAAGAACAATTGCAAACTTTCTCGAAACTCTATCGTTTTTGTGGAAGAAACTTTGAATCTGATATCTTCCACTTCTAGATTATTATGTATTAAAGATTATAATTTCGTCAATTCAATCTATTATTTGGATTTATCCGAAGATACTTTGCTGATTGTAGTTTGACTGTAAAGCTGTTTTTTGACCGTCCTATATCAGAGCTTTTTATATCTAAAGATTCATTAGTGTCTAGTGTAGACACTATCAAGTCTTTTATTTCAAAAGTATTATTTTCAAGTAGATTTGCGATTAAATTTATTTATTACATTTATTATCAAAATAGTTACTCATTTTTCATCTTTCAAGTAAACTCTATTCCATTATGTGTGGACTAAACATCTTCATCAAACGCAATCAATACCTTCCTAAATTCAAACATATCTGTGGAAACTTTTAAAAACTATCCTACTACAAGCATATTTAACTTATAGCTCTGAAGTCACGGTCAGACATGCAAATAATTTGAGCCCAAATTTGTCGCATTTTCTAGGTGTATGTCATGAATAAACTGTTTTTGGAAAGGAAATATATAAAATATAGTTCTTTTTAATTATAATGAGACATATTTTTTTAAAGTCCACTTATAAAAGAACACAAATTTGTGTGCAAATTATTTGCATGTCTGATCGTAGCTTAAGAGCGATAAGTTTATTATGCAACATTTCAAATATATTTTAATTTAACCTAAAATTTAATATAATGGTACGATCTACTGGAGGCCAGTCGAGCTCTCCACCGAGTTTCTGCCTCGTGTTACAAATTGATGGCTGAAACATAAGCTGCCCTTTCACTTCAAATATTAGGGTATCAGGAGCCAAACCATGACTGTGGCATGCAACAAAACTCTGGCAGTCAGCCGCGCCCAGTCAGGGCAAAAGCAGCTGGCAATGAATTATAAATCCAGGCTTAAATTAAAGCGCAAATATCCAACGGGGGACATATGAACGGAAAGTGTTGGGGCAGGGGGAGGGGAGGGGAGGGCAGTGCAGGGCAGAGGGAAACCATTCAGGCATGAGAAACCGGGAAAGCAGGAAAAGCTGAAGCCCAGACTGAAGACTGAAGTTGAGAAGTGAAGTTGAGGCCGAAGCGGAGGCTTTAGCGTAGGTCGCCAGCCACGTGGGTCGTCGGCCACATTGCTACGGCTTTCTTCAATTACCATGCCATGTGGCAGGCCGACGGGGCACTCGACGATGACGACGACAATAGCAACAACAACAACAACAACAACAACAACAGCAACTGCATTTTGACATTGCATGGCACTATATTAGCGAGGTTGCCGTCGACTTGGCTTTATTCGTAATTATGGTGACTTAAATGGGTCATAAATTGCAAATGGGACAACGTTGCAGGCGCCCGCCCAATGAACGATGACTCCAGATAGTGTGTGTCTGCGGCATTCTAAGGTGTGTCGGGCTAGTGGCAATAATTTTAGAATTATGCGATGCTGCCTCCTCATACATACGAGTGCATTCAGGCAGATACTGACTTACGAGTGTGTTCATCACCAGCGACACCGACACTCAATTGAATAGAAATATCACTTTAAATAAGTTTACGAGTTGGATTTACAAAATCATTCATGATTACATCACTGATTAAATATTTCACTTATTCAAAAACTTTAAACTGAAAATGCGCTCGATTTTTTGTTTATTGCCATTTTCATTCAGAAAGCAGGGCATAGTTTCCCTTAAAGTGTTTTTTTTATGTTTTTAAAAGAATCTGTAGACTCAGATTCTATCGAATTCACATCTATTTGGGTATAATTAGTTAAAATTGAAATATTACGCTTCATTAAACTTTTATTGGAAAACTAATCTTAGTCAAGCTTAATTTGAAATGTTGAAAATTTTCAATTCTTTTTTTCCATTTTAATTCAGAACGTTAGGCATAGTTTTCGTTAAAATGTTTTTTAAAGAATCTGAATCGATATCTATGGAATTCACATCTATTTTGGTCTAACTTGTTATAAAAAAGTTAAGCTTTTATAGGAAAACTAATCTTAGTCAAGCTTAAATGGAAATTATGAAAATTTTCAATTCTTGAGTGTAGAACCTACATTCTACTTCCAGCTTCTGCTTTTATTCATGAATTTAGGTTCTCTGAATCTTCCGAACTATTCTTTTGAGATATAATGTAGGTTCACGTTTCTTCTGAACTCATTTTGTACAAAAATTGCAAACTAATTGTGGATATGCACCTACAAATTGATTTGGAGACTCGTCAGATGCTTAAACTTCAGAAACCTAAAGTTCACAAATGCTTTCCCTAACCAGCTGAACAGCACTGTGCAAGCACGCATAGCGACGTTTTTGGCAAATGTATAATGAAGGCAGCTGCCACAGACCCGCTAATTGAGCGCCCCATTAAGAGTGCAGCGCGCCAAAGTTCTAGGCGCCCACCATGACGCAGCAACTGTTGTTGTTGTTGTTGCTGCTGCTGCTGATGATGACGACAATGACGTTGACGATGTTGTTGTTGTGTGGGCGCTTTGCCGGTGAAAGCGCAGTGCAGACTCAAAGCAGTTACACAGAGAGAGCGAGAGGCAGAGAGAGAGAGAGAGAGAGAAAGAGAGTGGGAGAGATAAAAAATGATGAAGGTATAAGCCGCATAGGCAATTTGAAAATTTGTCCCGCCGCGTGGGTGTCACTTGAGGGATTGTGCCTGAATCGCTCATGAATCGAAAGTCTGGGCTGCCTGACTGACTGGATGACTGACGTTTTATAAATGATGGGACTTGCCAGTCAGCCATTCATACATATATACAAGTAGTACATATATAGATTACTTTTTTACGATTATATACATAGAAAAAAAAAGTTATTATTGTTGTTGTTACTCACCTCAATGCAGCCGCTCGAATGCTGCCTGGGGCTTAGAAAGAATGAGCCATTGACCAGGGGATAACGATCGAATACGATCAGGGGCAGGTTACACAGAATGCAGCTCACACGGCTTTTTTGCACTTGGGCCAGTGAGGAGAGTATGAAGAGGCGTGTCTCGTCATTGCCATGATTGCCCTCGTCTTCGATCTGCAATGAAATGAAATAAACGAGAGAATGGTTATGAAAAGCTGGAAGATTTTCGAACAAACGAGCAATCACAATGATGATGATTGATGTGTTTATTGTTTGAGATGGAAAAGAGAGCAACACGAGAGATGATATACATCGATCTAGAAATGTTAGCACTCCTGAGATATTTCCCAGTCTTTGTGTAAATCGCATTCCTAACGTTTGAATGCCTTAAAGTTTAAGATTTCATTTACAATATTGCTTATTGTTATTAATTATTAATTGATAATTATTTAAAGCATTAAAAATTATTCATTTATTTTTTCGCATTTTGAAAATATTATTAAAGAAGTCCGAGTTAATGGCACTTATGTTGGAAGCTAAGTAAATATTAAGAAGAAAAAAATTGTTTTTAATTTGCTAAAAAGCATTTTTCTGGAAAGTTGGAACTGTTTGGTTTCCCGGTCGGAAAATTTATTTCCGTACACAAGATTTTTAAATGTAATAAAAAAGTAATAATTGTTATGTGACATATTGGGAAGGAAAGAACTTAGATACTATTTCAGTATTTCAAATTTGAAATCAGAAAAATGATTTTTCATTTGTAGTTTTACATTTTGGAATATTTTTTTTCTTAAAATAATGGGAATTTATTGTATAAGCAACTGAGTATTAGAAAAAGGTTAACAATTGTATCCTATCTAGTATAGAGACATTTAAAACCTCGAACGGGTTCTTTAGAATTAATCTTCAACACTTGCTTGAAAGAATTGACAAATTTGTGTGCAAATGATCTGTCTGTTTGACCATAAACTGGAACTTGTTGCAAGTATTATTGCACATTTGTGCTTTCCATTCGGCTTGGCTGCAGCCGGGAATTTTATGCCATGATCGACTGTCCGGTCTCTACCTATGGTAATGTAGTCTTATTTTCTTTTAAGGATACCTCCTCACCTAACGCGGAAATGTAAAATCAGAGCAGACAAAATAGGCCAGTATACCTATTTTAGTTATCAATGAAGCTCTCACACGAGCACTTCAGTTGATTTCTTATTAACGTGAATTTATTGTATTTCTTTTATTTTGCTTTAAATATTAAACTGATTAAGATTGCCAACAGCCTTCATTACCTGATCGCTGAATGGCTTAAAGTCTCGACTAAAGATATGGCTTTCAATAGGTTTAATAAACTCGTAAACTCTTTGCTAAAAAGTGGGAGTGCAATGAAAGGCATGCGGCGCAAAAAACAAAACGAAATTTATGTTTATATTTATTAGTAAGCCAAGGTGTAAAGGACTGAAATAACAGCCACAAGAAGAGCAGGTAGCGACAAAAAACAAAAGGTTAGTGTAAGCCTTTTTTGCTATTTTGGCCAACGAAATTTTCAATATGAAACGACGTCGACGTCGATGTCTGCGGCGTCTAAGCGGCAACAAATGAACCATAAAATCCAAAACGTGCCACCGAGTCAGCCAGCCAGCCAGCCAGCCAGCCAGCCAGACAGCAACGTGCAGCAAATGAAGCAACAACCTGCACACGTCTGCAGGCGACTCCACTACACTAAGCCAACTGGCTAAGTTGCACAAACACAGTGTCCAAATTGAATTCCCAAGCACAACACTCCAACACACACACACACCATATACTCCCACAGACAACAACAGGAGCAGCAAGGCAAGATGTGGCTGTGCGCCAATTCCCAAATCGATAATCAATATGAGATGGCGTTGAAGATGGTGATGGCGGCCACCAGGTAACCAGCCAGGTAACCAACCATCCAGCCAGCCATGCATATGTGTATCGCTTTCATTCCATTTCACGGCTGCCGCCTGCGGTGGCTTAATAAAGCAGTCAAGCGTTGGCGTCAACAGCACCAGGGACAACAGCCAATGCCCAACAAAGCCAATCAGCAAAAAAAAAAAAAAGTGTTAAAGAATCTGTAAGGAGGAAAAAGAAATGTATACCCAACAAAAAAAAAGGGACATATGAATGAGTCTTTTGCGCGCTAATCAAAGTTGATTTGTTGTGGGCAGCCAACTAACTAACTAACTAAATAAACTGATAAAAGTAACAAGCTGATGGTATCACCCGAATATATACTTATATATAGTAGACATTCCCAAAGATACACAGACGAAACTAAATGAGATAAGAGGCTTTAATATACTTTGGTTGAAATCATAGTTGACATTTCGTAAACACAAACTTGAAAAGGTGTGTGCAATAAATCAATAAAGCTTAAATTGAAATTATAGATTGCTGAATGGGTGCTTAGTGATCAGAACATGTGACAGGCCACGAATACTATGGAAAGATATTGTAGGGTACCGAGTAACAGCATATTACTGATAAGTAAAAAGAAAAATGTGTTGTGAAATAACTTAAAAGGCGGATAAAATTTGATGTCTCAGGATTTTTTTGTATAAATATCAATTATTTATAATTTTTTAAAGTTAATGTAGGGATCTGCTTCCTGGACCAGGGTTGTCCTACTTATAAGCAATAGTTTAAGTTAAAGAAAGGACGCTTTCTGGATTACTGTAGGGTCTGTCTATCAGGCAGAAGTTACAAAGATAAAGAACAACTATTTCTAACCATTATTTAGGTAGTAGGTTGATTTACAAATTCTGCAAGTACTTAAGCGGTTTTTAAGGCAATTGATTCTAAAATTACTAGGACACCAAAACATTGCAGGCAATTGCATTGCAGAAGAGCTGGCAAAGGGCGAAGTTGTTCCTGACAAGGAATGAATCGGTATGTTCGCTTTAAGCTTTTGCGATGGGAAAGTAAGAATCTATGTGTTGGCGCAACAACTCTGGACATCGAAAGAATCACAACACTCCTGAAAGTAAAGCGTATCGATATTTCTATAGTCAGATATCGATATTTCTGAGGTGAGACACGTTGCCACACTTGTCAATAATTCATTGACTTCTGCAGAAGATATAGAAAAGGAGCAGGAAAGCGTAGAGCAGATTTCCCATTACTGTCCGGCATCTAGCAGGATCAGATCTTTGCTAAATAATCTCAAAGATATGCCAAAAATTTAGGTTTATCTATCCAGCTAGCTCAACATAGCATATAGTGAAAGATTTAATAAAATTATAATTTTTATTATTTGTTTTTTTTTTTTTAATTTTATTTTATTATTATTATTATAAAATCAGTCTATTTTCAGTTTATTTTTCTCTTACTTTTTCGTTGGGTCTTTTATAACAGCTGTCGCCACATTAAAGTTTCTATATTTGTTAAAAAACACTATACAACTAATACTGTTTTTACACGATTTTGATTTAACACGGTTTGAAAATTAATTAACATTATTCCATTTAGCATGATTTAAAATAACGTACTATCAATGTATTTTTTTACACGACTTTTTCTGGAACCAATCTAGCGTGTAAAGCAGAATTGGGTGTATATAATTGCTTAAATTATTGCATTGTCAAATTTGAAATTTGCTGAACTAAATTTCAAAGTTGTATTTAAGAAGCTTTTACTATACCCTCGAATTACATTTATACCTTAATAGCCACTCTTTGGCTTACCACCAGCAGACAGAAAGACGGACAGACAGATAGTAGATATACATATGTATGTATGTATGCATGAAGTATATGAAGGTTTGTTTGTCAGCCAACACAGACATGTGTTCAATTATTTAGTAAATGACAACAAAAGGCGAATTCCGTTGCTGCTGTTGTGGCATGCTCGGGCAAAGGACACGTACGCTTAATCAATGGCAGCAATGGGACACATTGACGATGCCTGTCGACGTGCAGCCAATATAAATACGTGTGTGTGTTTTAGTGTGCGGTACAAGTTTAATGCACTTTTAATAAGTTGCTAAGCACAAGGTACGACAACAACAACAACAGCAACAATAAGTTAAGGCTCAGCACAATAACAACAAAAGCAGACTTGTATTATTCTTATGACACTCAAGTGCCTTGCCACAACACAACACAACACAGTTGCCTGCCCCTGCCCCTGCCACGCCTTGCCATTACTGCTGTGCCAACAAACAAGACCTTTCGTTCATGCATTATGCAGAATTTGTAATATTAAGCAAATATTTGTGAAGAACTTTTGTTGCGTCGCGCAAACAGCTTAGACGAGAGGCCAAAGTTACCTTGACAAAAGGCAATCCTGTGAGTTTATAATAATGATGATGAAGATAATGTCTTTCTTAGCTTCTGCAGCATTGCTGACTGGCAGGCTGGCTGGCTTCAGTGCGACAGTCAAACAATCAAGAAATTAATATTTGCACACACCGCAATAACTCACAGATCTGCTGTTCGTCTGTTTGTCTGTAAACAAATGTATCTGCAAGTTACAAAACAACATAAATCTTGACAGAACACACAGCAACAACAACAACAACAACAGCAGGCAAAACAATAAAACGAATCGCCAACGCATTTTCGTCGTGTGCAAAAATAAATTCGATTAATGAATGTTTGCACTAATTTCCAAAACAAAAGGTCCAACTTACATCACAAGAGAGGGGGCTGGCCCACAAAGCGTCAGCGATATGCTCAAGATGTAAGCCATTCAACAACAACAAAAAGGTGTAGGGTGGGGGTTGGGGGTTGAGGGTTAAGGGAGGAGGGTTGGACGCGCCTACAGCAATTAAGTTGATTGCACAAAAGCGCGTCATCTATTATGCGAGACAACAGGAAAGTGAATGAAAGTGTATTCTGAGCTCTATTTAAATGCTTAACAATTGCTTCAAGTGGCGCGTCTAGAATTACAGGGCTCCAGTGGGGAGGACCAGCGACAGCAACAACAACAACTATAGCATATATTTGTGCTGCTTGTGGCAGACACTCAACTCTCTCTCTCTCTCTCTCTTTCCCAATTTTGCGGTCAATATACGTATATATATTTTTTTATATGTACGTGACGATTTGCTAATTTGTTGCCTTCGCTGGCGATCAACGTGACCGATGGATGACGGGCAATAACTTGTAGTTTTTCCCTTTTCGGTTTTTGCAAAATTTATAACACAGACATTG